ATAGAATACTTTGTGAGAAGTTAGACTTTGGCCTTTAGAGATACTGAGTTTCAAACCAGAGATAAATGATTGTTGCATTTCAAAGATAAAAGTCTGAGATGAGAGAGGCAATTATGATTTTTAGTACRTATGACAGATCTATACTAAGGCCTCCTTTCAAGGGGGCAAGGGGAAAAGGATACTTTCCCATTTTCTAAATGGCAAATCATGACTAGTTTCTTCTCCGGAATTCATAAAACTGAGTATTTTTCTCTCTTACGTAGATAGAACTAGCAAAAAATTGCATAAAAGCATATTCAGATATAAAAGTACAAAGTTATAGAAGGAACACCAGGAGTGAAGTAGCTGTGTGTGGGTTTTGTTGGGGTTTTTTAATGGTATGCTATTTTCCTATTTTTAATTTTTTTTTCTTCTTTTCCCAACAAACAATAAACATTTGTTTAAAATATCTACCCTCTGAATTAATGTTTTATCTAGCCCTTAAAATTGCTCAAGATTAAACACTGATCAAAGTTATTTCTTTTAATTTTTTCTTCAGAATCAAGCTTTGAAATGTGATGGAGGAAGCATTTCTAACAAAGCCCCTGACATATGCATAGTGTATAAGCTTCATTTGGAGTGTGGCAGATTGATTAATCTCGTTGATTGGTTAGAGGTAAGTCATAATGCAAACAGTACCTTTACCTGCTTTCAGTATTCTGATTTATCTTTTTGCTGCATGCCTGCTTTTCTTTAGTGTCCCTTTGACAGCTTCAGTCATTGCATACTGTGGTCCACAAGAACCCACAGTAACTCGGTAAGTCCTTCTCTGTTATGAATCACTCATTTCCAGCTCTGTTACTCTGTGATGAAACTATTTTGCTTCTGCTTCTCTTTTATGCTTGGCACAGACCAGAATTTGTGTCTAACAAAATTGCCTTTCTTCTTTTCTGTTTGTTTTTTTAAGTATTCTGCAACACTTCTATGGAAACAGGCAAGCAGATCTCTTGAAGAGAATGCTTGTGCCAGGGAAGAGCACAGGTCCTTCTGGCTTGATAACCTGTCTCATACTGTAGCCAAGAGAAAGAGTAAAGCAAGAAAACAGACATTAACATGATAAAGTCTCCCTATCTAACAATCACATTTTAATTTTGAAGTTTCCTAAACTTGAATGGTCTTCTGTATTTCCTAAATCTACCTGGATGTCAKTACCAGGATATTTTAGCAACCACAACACCTGACAAGAAACTGTAGCTTAACTACCTGCAGTTTAGAAGATACTGCTTTTGCTTGTTCCAAGTGTGTTGTGTTTGCTGCTGCCATGTTTGTGTATGCTCCTACCATTGTATGCTCCTACCCAGACTCTGGCTGTCCCTCAGTTTTACAGATTTCTTCACAGCCAACTTAACCTCTATCACTTCCCCAGAGTATTTAAGCAGTCTCACTTTGAGGATATTTTTTCAGTTCTGTAGTTTCTCTGAGAATGGACCCAGAGCCTTCTGAGATTGAAAATGCAAGCACACGAGTTCAGAGTGATGTCTTGCATCCTGTGTTCCTGCCATGGTAATATGTACCGTTGCTTGCTCTTTGATTGCTGCTGAACTGACATGTTCCTAGAGTGTTCTCATTCCAAGATTTTATTCCCTGAGTGATAACCTTCAGCTCAGAGCTCACTGTTTTATATGCAGATGTCTGTCTATGAAGTGGAATAAATCTATGCTGCTTTTCCCTTTCTAGGCTTTCTCAACTGTGGTGACAGCAGCTGAGGAACCAAATGYAGTTGCAGCTTCCTCAGACCAGATGGATGATATTATCCAGTATCCTTTCTCATTTCTCTCAAGCGTGACATTGAAATACTTTCAGGATTTATGAACCAGGGGTTTTAAAATACAGTTYCATGTGCACTGATTAACTAATTTCAGGAAAATCACTTTAACCAGCCTTAGTGTACTGAAGATGTCTAAGAAACAGATCAGTTGAAATAGTTGAGCTGGGAATGGTAAGAGAGCAGCTTTTGTCTATAGGAGTTGTTTAGTTCTGAAACAGAATCAATAATTCCGTAAAACAAGTTGAAACTGATTAAATCATCAGAGTTGRTATAGCTTCTGGATAGGGTTAGAGCATTACTGGGGAACAGATGGTAGGAGGGCTGTGACCTGGAGAGCAGCGGTAGAAACAGAAGCATTAGTTCATTATATTCTAGTACCTCAGAATCGAGATTAAGAACTTATTTTCCACAGGACACCCATTCTGCTTCTTACTTTGTCCTGATCCTGAACGGAGGTCTAAAATATATTTAGTAGGTGAACAGTAGAACCAAAACTGATGGCTACAGCAGTAGTGCTGCCACAAAGAAATGAACAGTTGTTCAAAATAAGGCTTAACTAAAGGAAGGGTAATTATGTGCTCTAATACCATACCTGGCTTTCCTTTAGTATAAGACCTTTCCTTTTTTACAAGCTCCACTGCTAACTGTCGTTTACAACARATTAAATTCTCTAACTCAGGAATATAAAGCTGTTTGTCAGGCAGGCAGCAGGAAAGGCAGAGTGAATAAAAAGTAAGAGAAGATGATGCCMTAAAAGCTCAGAAACAATCTCTACAATTACCTATCTATTTTTTGGTCAAGGTACATGAAAGTATAAACTCTTCTGAGACACTACTACAAAATAAGTATCATACTCGACTTTAAGCTTCTTTAGCAATGGGAAAAGGAACTCTTCCTTTGTTGTCACGTTGTATGCATGTTGCAGAAGTACTGATTAGAGTGAAGATTTGTGCAATTTGTGCTTCTGTAGGCAACTCGTGCGCTACCCATTTCCAACAATTTTATTGTGCAATACGTTGTGTAATSTGTCCTTACCATGACTTAGAAATCTTTGCCTCCTAGAAGAGAACAGCRTCTCTGTCATAAAAAATGTACTTGGTTTCCTTGACTGACATATCCAGTGCTCGCTTTATTCGAGCTGTGTCTGAACTGGAGCTCCTGGGCTTCATAAAGCCCAGCAAGCAGAAAACTGACCACGTGGCAAGGCTGACATGGGGAGGCTGTTAATGTGCCACCAGGATGCTAATAAACCTTCCCAACACTGCAGGGGCTGTTCCCCCTACACCACTCCTCACTAACTTTGCATACAGTCAGTTAGCAGTGCCTGAATGTTGTGAGATACATTCTGAGTGCCTGGGCAGGCTTGAATAGAGATGTTATTTTTTAATGCTCATCTTCCCTGTGTAATGTACTGCTCTATTCATGCTCATGTTCCAAATACTGTATTGTGCCAGTTTCAATCTTCTTTGATGTGTGGAATTTAACAGTCCACTGATACAACTCAAGCTAGCAAGCCAAAAGACAACACTGACTGTGTAAGCCACAGAAATGATGAAGTATTATTAACATCTTTATAAGCTGATAGGATTTGAGTTATTGTAAAATGCCTCCTTGATCCTTGATCTAGATTTAAAAATGAATAAAACAAGTATGCTAAAGAAAACAATAAACTTCCATGTTCTTCCTCTGCTCTGTGTTCTTCCAAACACATTGCGTGAGAGAAGGGGACAGAATAATTATGAAGATACAAAGTTTTGCTGTTTGATTAAGAGCAAAAGTGAACAGTTTAAATTATTCCCTCTTTCTAGTGAATTTGATGGGTACTAGCTGACTTTTGCTGTTAGGGAAACTTGTGTCAGCGTAGGCTGAGAACATGGCACTTGTGCACTCAGGTGGAAGTGGGAAAATCCCCGCCTGGTGCACATGCACCCTTCCCTTGTTGCCGAGGGTTTGTGCTGTATATAGGTAAAGGAAACAGCTATGTGAAAGCAACTGTTGGCTGAGCATGTAAAAGCTGTGCTCAGCTGATTATCCATCTTTGAAAAGCCTTCTCCAACCAACCTTTTACTTGACTCCATTTAAGGAACAAAAATGTTCCAAAAGTGTTTAAACTGATGTCGCTGTCCTGTGCTTTTCAACCATGGGAAAAGCTTAGAAACCAAAGTGACAAAGCTGCAATGCCCTCCAGAGCAGTGTCTGCCTTGCTTTGAAAAACCCTCTCAAGGGCTTTGACAGGCACATTACAGCACTTTGTATGGACAGGGACTTCAGGGCAGCATTAGTACCTAGAAAGGGCTGCAGTTTAGAGAGGTGTTCAGACTCTGTCCTTCGCAGCCAACTGCAAAGTTGAATGGTAACTACTTCAYTGTAAAAGGCTGAAAAATTTCCACACATCCTCAGCTGACTGAGAAAGGATTACAGGGTTCATTTTCTGAGGCATTGAAGTGATGTGATGTCTGTGTTTAGCCATCACTATACTCCAGATGCTTCCACTTAGTTGCACTGACACTTCAGCCTAGCAACTGGAGCTCTGAGGACAGAATCACTTCATAAACTAGATCTGTACTGGGGAGGGTAAGTCYTGTTGTGAAAACCAGTAACTTATCAAGCTGTTTACCCGGGTCTGTATGTAAGAGATGTCAGGCTTGTTTTAAATACCCTCAGAGAGGGTAAGAGTCCTGTATTTTCCAAATGCAGTAATTGCAGAGTCAGAGCAACACATCCTGCTGTGCTTAAGTGAGGGCCTGTTTCTGAATGCTGTCACGCAGTTGAGGGGGAGGAGAGGAACCTACCAGACTCTACTGCCAGAACATACCACTTGGGAAACAATGACAAAAACCTCAAGAGTATGAGTTTTAGGATCTCAGTAGAGCATCTGCAAAAGTGCCAAGACACAGGTAAAAATTTCCCATTCTTCCCTGGAGACCAAGCTCAGGGACCTGTTCAGTAGCATATACAGGCAGCTTTCCAGCAGCAGAGCAGAAAGCAAGACATTTCAGCAGGGAAACACTGAACATCCCCCATCCAGAACCTCACCCCATTTATCTCGCAAATACACTTGACAAATGAAAGGGGAGCAGCACCAATATCTCGGTGCAAGAGGACAGGGAGCCAAGTGCTTTGCTGTGTAGCTGTTCCCTGCCACCCCCCCCTCTGCTAACCTTCACACCCACAGAGGGAAAAACGTTCAGAAATAAAGAGAAACCAGCCTCAACAGTGTGTGGCCTTTAATCCCCAAATGTGCAGGCAACATAACATTAAAACAGTAAAATTAATAAGAGTTAATGGCTGTTTCTTCCCTTCAACTAGTAACAAATTGGTAAGGWTAAAGTCACATTTGCTGTGCTACATATGGTTTCTCAGGATCAAACCTTTAATTCTGTACTTCACATTTCATCTTCTTCAGCAGAGCACAGGAAGGTTAAACAGCTAAAACACAAACTGAACTGGTCATAAATTYAATTTAGTCTGCCTTCCTTTCTTCAGAGGCTGGACTTAGCAATCTGTCCTAGCTTCCTGGAAAGTGCTTAACATCACTCAACTTGGAACCAACATCAATAACACCCTCACACACCTYAGCTGAAATACAGATTTCAACTGGAAAATTAAAAATTAGTTTCTACAACTGTCTGCATATTAATACCATGCTTTGCAGATATTCCAGAAAACCTTCACTGTCTGCAATGTTCAGTTAAAGAAAACGCAATATTCACTTAAAGAAAACAGGACAAAAAACCCAAAGTGATAGAGTCTGTAGCAGTTTTGAAACTCTTTAACAGTGTAAAGCCTCACTTCTGAACTGCAAACTGTATCATAGGTAGCCACATCTTTTAACAGAACTACTGCCAAAAATCAGACCTGAATGCATGTTAACTCTCACTAAAATAATTTTCAAACCTTTTCTTCCTACTGTTACAGGAGCTGTTCTTTGACACCTCTTTACACTACTGCACTACTGGCTTCAAACACAAAAGTTTGTAATTTTATCTTGAAGCCTACAACTGCAATAAACTATTAACAGGCCAGGTATCTGTAAAAGCCATTCTTTCTCACATTTTTCATCACTGAGAATGACTTCCAATACAAAAGTCACAAGCACTGGTTAACAAGAGCAGAAATTCTTTACACTTTTACCAGCCTCGATTTTTTTCTTCCCACTGTGGAATCAGCTTAAATCGTTCCCAATTCCCAACTCAGAATGAAGGGAGCTTTCACAAAAGTTTCTGAGCAGAAACTGGTCATGCTATTCAAGAGTACAGAAAACTGCTTGAATCACCTTCCTTTGCAACCCTGAAAAATGCAGAATCATCTTATGGTTATATTGCTCTCACATCTGGACACAAAAATCAACACACAGGATTTACTTGCTCCTTTTTTAAGTACACAGTAACTGAGATCTGCTTGGAAAGGAATATACACATATACCTTAAAAACAGGTTAACCAAGATCTTTGGTTTCACTCTGTTAAGTTCCAATTAACTCTTCTCAGCTTGCTTGGCTTTTGGGTAAGATTACAGTTACATACAAATTTAAAAATATATGTGGCCACCACAAAGTAATGCCAAGAACTGAGTAATTACTGAATTATACCAAATTTTACTTGACTCAGCCTTTGAAAAGGACATGCAAAGCAAGTTTGTTCTCAGGCACCAGTCAGCTCCTCACAGMACCCCAATTTTCCTAATTTTTTCAATAGTCATCAAGCTGCCAACCGTTTTCCTACTGAAGACTGTCACCTGTTAGAACAAGCCTTTCATGTGATTCATCACACCAGATATGACACTGAGATTAGGAAAAGGACCCATTTTAAAGTCCAAGACAGAGCAAGCAGCAGGTYAAAAACTGAAAAATCTCAAAGAATGCAACCGTGTTTCCAAAACAGGCACAAATTAAGCATACCACAGCTGTGATACATCAGCACCCATGGTGCCATGCTTTTCATCTGCCCCAAGACTGCTTACTATGCATCAATATGGAGCAGTGCAGGAGTRGCTGGGTGCCAACATGACATCACTTCTTAATTTGTAAATCTTAATATCCCAAAGGGAAAGATAAGAACACGGGAAACACATAGGATGTGCCAGGATGCTGTTACTTGCATGGTGGTCCACCTAGAAGMAATGGTTTTCCTGGCCTGGGCAACTTAAAAACAAAGTCAAAGTGAAGAGCAGGAAGGAGAGGGACTGAGGACTCCAAGGCAGACAAAAGAAATTACAGCCCTTGAAATTTTTATCTTCAGTGACAGAAGACCTGAGAGGGGAGTCCAGCAGAGATTTCTCATTTCTGGGATTCTGAAGCAGAAACAATCCAAGGACTTAGGTAAGACAGGTTTCAGGAAATGAACAGAAAATACTCTGATATTGTGAGCAATGTGTCCAATTCTGAAGYTTCAATCTTCTAAGTGAGAGTTCACCAAGAACCAGAGTTCATAACTAAGCATCAACATGAGCCAATTACCAAGTACATCTACCAGCTTCAACTACAACTCCACTGTTAATTTGAAATGGGACAGAGATCCATCACAGAGCAAYTTCCATTTAACCAGAAGCTAACACTAAGTTAGAGAAGACAGCAGTTTATAATCAAAGGATTACTCTGAAACTGCTTTATTGTCCCAAAAGCATGTAACTCAAGTCCTTTGGTAGCAATACTTCTATCCCAAAACACACAGATCTGGACTTGCCATGCAGGAACTCTGCAGTGATTCAGAGCACTGCRCAGCCAGCACTGATACAGCAGTCTGTCAACAGCTGAACGCATCCAACGGCAAGGCCCTCAACCCTGAGCAGACATTACACACCTTCAGCTCTTGCAATACGTACACTGTTCCAGCTTGCAGTACACACACCTGCTCTACTCATGAACAGATTTCCTTTAATGTGTCACTGAAATCTGAAGGAAGGCAAGTGCAGCTGCTGTTGGCAGTCAGCTACAAGAAATTAAATCACCAGTTTCATGTCAGTTCTGTACCAAACATGCTTCCACAAGAAACAATACAGGCAATCTAAGGAAGATTTCTCTGTCTCTGAAGAATGACCTGAGATTTTAATCCACTTCCTTCTCCTGAGCTTAAACGGACCCACCCACTATTGCTAGTGAATGAAGTTTAAAACACTCAAATTTAAGTTTATTCATACACAGCAAAGTTCCACCTGYATATTAAAAACAAACAGATTAGAAGTAAATGTTTTATTCTTCCAACTAAATTCCAGTACTACAAGGGCAGTAAAACAATGATACACTGAAAAATTGCAGCAATAAACATTTGTTAAAGACTGATAGAATAAATAAAAACTACAAAAATGAGAAATCATATAAACCCATTCTTAACCCCCAAAAAAGTCATGGAATACAGAAATGCCCTCCTTCACTATTTCACAGGCAGTACTGTGGGCTATTTGCTTAAAATTGTCCTGGGATTACATTCTAACTTAACTGTGATTACAGCTTTGTTGTAGTGCACAGTTATGAAAACCACACTAACTTCAGTCAGAAGTGTCATTCTACATTTTTATTTACACAACCAGTGAAGGGCAACTTCTAGAACACCAGCTTTAATCCTTTACTTTTTCAAACTTATTAACATAAGAAGCCAAATTGTAATGATACAGCAAATGAGGCCACTGGTATTATTACAGGTAGCAAAGGTCCACATCCAGGTGGTACTGACATCAGGGAGCACTCCAAAACCAGTTGCTGCATAAGAGTGGTTGCCACTGACAAAAGCTTGAAATAACCTGTGTTCACAGGGGGGAAAAAAATATGGCATTGCTGCAAGTCTTTACTGGGATAGCTTGCAACAATAAAACAGGGTGTATAGGGCAGCCCACATATGCAGAAAGTGTGATTCATGAAACATCTGGAAAGACAAAAAAACCCACGAGTTAATGACAGAGATAACAAATGTTAGCTCTACACAATCCTGCTATGGCAGTATCAAAACTAGTTYCAAAACTAAAACCTACAGGAAACAGTTCTAGATGTTTTAAACACAAGCTGCATTTTCTCTCACTTTGCTTTCAACCTCAAAATTCCATATTATCAATTTAAAAGTATTTTACCTTAGGGCCTAGCAGCTTAACAGCAAACAATGGCCATTTAAATTATTGAATATCTGGTAATTCAATGCTGCTACAGGGACCAGAAGAAATAGATACTCACAACTGGCAGGCTGTTCTCCATATCGTCGCATGATCTGATCATGCGTAAACTTCACAAATGCGTCATATTGTTCTGCAAGGATGAAGCAATACAAGTGTGAGTATTCAGTTTAACTCAAGCTGAAAAATACTCAGGGCTAATTTTTATACACAGAAATCATACAAGCTAAACACATTCCCCCCCCAATTAGTAGTAGTTTTAAGTAATGTTATATAGCTCATATCTGCCATTTCTTTTTTATCCTCCAGAACAATTCAGCAAATGTCCCCTTAATTAAAAGACTTTCCCTTACAAAATTCTGTAAATGAGAAAGATGGCAATAAACTCGAAKACAGTTATGCTGCACATAACAAARACCTCAATTTACTTCACACCTGCTAAGTATCACACACTGTATTCTGAAGAAACGAGGTGTTCCCATTTTACAGAACCATAATGGGGGCAGAGTAGTTAAGGAAAACATGGCATAAAGGTCAGTGCTAGTGTTGGAAACAATTTCTCTGCTCATATCACTACCAGATGTTAAGAAAATTAATTTAATGAAATGGAAACACAAAAGTACAGGAAAGGGATTTGCTACAGTTAGAAATTTTTGCTGACCGTCAGAAAATCAAAAGCAAAYAAGAAACTAAAAGGATGAAATGCTATGTGACTAACTTTTGAGTAATTCCAATCACAGAAGTAGCTACTATGGGAGACATATAGTTGCTGTGGACTGCATGAAAATGGCTACTGTGTCATCTGAAATGAAATTTTGATATGAAACATATTTGGCTTTGAACTAAGCACTGTTATTTCCCAGAAAGGTTACTCTTTTCTATACACACATACATACAAATACATTCGCAATATTTTATTCAGTTTTAATACTGCACTCATCAGCAGGRTATCACCTTTCAGAATTAGGAAATTGAACAAGGAGAGTAATATCTACCAGATGCCGCTCCTCTCCATTCCCCTTCCTCCCTTGTGGAAAAATACATGTKCAGCAATGTGGGGTGTTCTGAGAAAAGGGCAAGGTCAAAGAAGGCAATCTTCAACCAAAAATGCAGTTAGATTTGTAGTGGTTCCTAGTCCCACAGGTTTGCCCCAATAAAGTCCCCATYCTCTTGCAGGGATGAGCTTCACCTTTGAAGTAAACAGGGTATCAGTAATCAGCAAGTAGTGCAGAAGCAGCCCAAAGTACGGACCGGACCCAAAGATCTAAGGACATTCATCCCCCATGACCAAGGGGACCCAGGGTCACAACAGCCAGCTCCCCTCTGCCCACAAGCAGGACCTCTTTCACTGCAGCTCTGAACAAAGGCTTTTCAGAAGCCAAGTGAGGACTTTAGCCAAATAACAAAATAATACAAGGAGCAGATTGAAGGATCTAGTGCCCAGAAACAATTTAAAAAAATAACAGCAACTAGAACTTTCCCTGAAAGTATGTATTAAAGGCCAAAATCAAATTTGCAAACCTTCTTCTGTGAAGGTGGAAGTCAACATACATAGCTGCTTGGTAACATCATGCTTATGCTTGTTAAAACTACGGCTTGGSAAATTTTTAAAAATCCAGTTACTAAAAAACCCCTATCAGTGGCATTCAGATACAGAAGTTAAGCAATCCAAAGGCAGGAGCAGCCTACAGGGAACTACTTGAAAATTTAAGTGAACACTGCAAAGGTATTTGTATCACTGTAACATATACATCCTAACTCTTTTAAGTCACGTGGCTAAATGACAGGAACACAAATACAATTAAAATATTATAAAAGGCTCTTTTTCACAGATTCTTTAAAACCTTTCATGCTAGTGTTTCRCTAAGGCCATTGCAAACCCAAGGTTGTGCTAACACAGCAGTTTCAGGTAACCGAGGCAAGAAGGGAAATCAGGGCATTACAATGATCTGAATTTTCCATTTACTCTGTTCGCAAAGAACACGGAAAAGAAAAGGTAGTATCTGGCTCACTACCTACAAGACAACTCTAATTCAGAAAATATCCAAGATGCAAACATTCAGTTAAGTCACTTGAAAGAAGCGATTCAATTGTGATTGATTTATTATGAAATTTCCAGTTACATTTCCTTTGACTTCACTTTTGTAAGCAAGCATATCACAGTACAAATTTTAGAAATGGATATAACCATTCTGTCAGCAGACAACCATAACTGGCTTTCTATGCAARGAATTTCTAAGTTCTTTTGACAGTCTCTCTTTCCCAATTTCCATATAATGTTGAAAATGTATTACTGGCTTTGTATCTGTGATGCGGCAATGCACACGGTAAGAACATTGAGAACATCTCACTAAATCACAAAACCCCAGACAGATTTCAATGCCCTCGCTTCCTCAGAAACAAACCCAACAATGCTCCCTTAGAGCCTGAAAGATGGAGCACATGTAAGGAACTTGAGAGAGGGGCTTCCTATTTGCAAAGAACTGTAAGCTTGTACTCTGAAAGTGTGTGGAACAAATATAAATCTCTACTGTCTTCAATGGCTATGATCTCTACTAAGTGAAAYGCATTTAAGAAAACATGAGAAATGACCCAATTCCTAACATACATAAATTAGGAGGAAAAGGTTCTATGGAGTCCTCATTCACCAGGCTGAAGCAGGTTAAAAAGAAAAACACTGAAATGGAACACTAGGCCTGAAACAACAGAAGTATTCACAACTCTAGATTGTAAACAGATGTAGATTTAAGAGGAACACAGAACTACAGCAATTTCTTACACAGAAATGGCAGATCAGCCAAGTGCAGAACATGAACAGAATCGAGGGTGCAGAGACAATACTCTCACAAGCAATCRACAAGTGATTGGATTGCTGAAATTGGTGAATTTCTGCATGTGCATGCTTGCAAAAGGCTTTATTCCCATACCCAAAGAGACCTCCCAACTTTATTTCTGATGTATTTTCAGGTAGGAAGCAGAACAGCTGTAGATATTCAAAAGCAWGTCTGCTGAACAGTGTGTTCAGATTTTCATTATCACACTAAATATTAAATTAGACTCCAAATCATARTGTGAAAGCACCTACCTCTGAATGCACAAGAATTTAGGTATTCAAATGCTAGCAAGAGGCTTAGAAGTAGAGGACCTCAAAAACTGAAGAAAGGTGCTATTTACAATGCTGACATTAGGATGATCCTTATCATCAGCTTATAAGCTGGCATCAGATGCCAAGAATTTCAGCTGACTTGTGAAATATAAGAATTCAACATGRAGCATCAGAAAAACAGCTGAACCAACTCTCAAGCAGATACCAAACACTGCTGGCTGGAGTGTAATAGAAAGGACCAGGAAGAGAAAGGGAAATCTTAGGGATTTTAGGGAAAAGGTACTGTCATCTTGCCAAATTCCAGAAAAAGGAAGTCAGTTCCCAAGCAGGAAAAAAAGAACAACAAACCAAACCAGTCCTTCCATAAGTCTTTCTAAAGGCAGTCTTTCTGGAGGAAAAAAAACCAAGAAGTGGAAACTACAAATTTAGAAATTGTAGSAAGAGAAAGTTCTAACTGAAATAAAACCTCTGTTTTCCACTGATTAGTAACAACTAGGAATCATGGTTTCTATGCAAAACAGCATAGAAGAAAAAAAATATTGAAGGGAGCAAACACCATGTTTTCTGTCATGTATCCAAACCCATTCCTTCATCAGATTAGGTCAGAAAAAACATACACTGTAACAAGAACAGCAGAAGTTTAAGGTTTTCAAATTCACTGTGACACATTATTTGAATTCTAAGATACCTGCAAGTTTTGTGGTCAAAATTTCTTCATACTCTTCACGGATTTTCTCTTCACGTTCTTTCAGCAAACGTTCACAGATCATTCCAACTTGTCTGAGAGTAAACAGGGGCTGTTCTTTTTTCAATGGTGATGATGCTGCAGATGAAGTACCTAAAATTAAATATTTGGGCATATCAATTTACAATTACAAGCAGATCAGAAACATTTTTTTATAACCAGTTTTTTTTCACATCTTTGCATTAAAGGAATTTTACAAAACATTTGAAGACGGCTTTCTCTGCTATTTGATCCTCCTAATTACTACTGAAATAGAACTGGATGCCCAAAAGGAAGACATCTACAATGGACAACACACACAGCTATCAAAACCCCAMGAGTGTTACACAAACACTGTGAACACCACTTACAGGGCAGTTGCCATGTACAAATTTAAGCTTCTATTTTATGTAAGAATTACAGTACAGTATTACAACACAGTATATTGGTGCAAAGACAGCTTTGCAAAAGCCTATTACAGTATCACTGACAAGAGTAGGCAGAATGGTGTCCTGAAAACAATGCCAGCTTTGTGTTCTACCAATTTTTAAAATGAAAAGCTACCATCTTCTAGATCAATGCTATTAYTGCAAAAAAAAGAACTAACTACTGAAAATGTGCCATAACACAACAAATATGGAGAAAATTATTTACTCAAATGGACAGAATAACAGAATATGGCAGCATTACACACATTTTATGGCCAAAAACCCAATGGTAACTGGTGAGAAGGTGCCACAAACCACCAAGCAACTAGAAAAAATTGTTTACACAAGCAGAGTCTAAGAAAACACAGCAAAATTACACAGAATTATCTGGGTACCTGGCAAAGCTGGTCCAGTAAGGAGAAATGCATGTGGCTGTGCATCAGTAGAACAACAAGGATCTGTCTGCTGGAAGCTATTTTCTAAATGTCTTCTCTTCTGCATGCGTTTGTACTCCTGTTTTATGTTGTACAGAATTTGTTCTAAAAAACCAAACAAACAAACAAAAAAAAAACCCTAAAATATTTATCTTTTAAACATCAAATGCAGTAGATAAATAACACATGATAAAAGATAGATGGAGAGACTCTCAAAACATGGCCTGCAAAACCCACAATGTTTTACCAAAGACATAAAGCAGTTAAACTAATTAAAAGAAAGGTGACCCAGACTGTTTTCACCAGGAGAACACTAGCAAAAATGTTCTCAGTTAAGGTCAAGTACTGGCACCTGAATACTGGTAACAAAAATGAACAGCATCCTAAAATTGAGGAATGATACAATACACATGGATAAAAAGTAGACTGTAAAACCTATACTGGTATTAATGATCTTCCCTTCATAMATTAAATCAGCCATCATCCCTCTCCCTCATACAGTGTTTATCACTCACAGAGTTAACAGATACAAGAGACTCCAAAATAAAACATCCACATGAATTACAATTCCTCTCTGTAGCTTTAGTGGCCTACGGGCAACACAGTGAAGATGAAAACATTTAGACAATATGCATTAAGCACCTACTGCTTAAAGTATCAAAGAACTGGGGGCCAACAGTCAAAATACAAAGCCTTCCACAACAGTTTGACAGCCACAAATCTATCCAAATAAATACAATGGATGGATAAGCAGTCTCTTTTAAGGGAATATGGCAATATGTAGTTCAGCTTTTGACTGCACTGTATAAAATACAGAAAATTATTTTAATAATTTCATCTCCACTGTAGAATCGTAAGTGAAAAACAAATCTTTTCAACAGAACTACCAATCCTGTGTGCCTTCTCTCTGAAATGCCACATACCAAATGGGTCTCAGGTGCATCAGTGGCCTAACTGCATATCCTCTGGCAATGTAAAATAATAAAGAAAATAAACAGTAATTTTCTATTTTTTGCACAAGACCCTCCCATAAAGCAATTTCCAAAGACCCTCATGCTTTATGAGAACTCTTACTTTTAAATGCACAAATGCATTAAAAAAAATTACTTGCAGGATTGGCTTCCACTGAGACTTCTACACTTTTTAGCGAAGACAGCTTTCTAAAACTCAGGCACATACAAATCCACGTGATCCCGTCAAGAGTTGCAAAGGACTCCATTCAGAACCTTCCTCCACATTTCTGCTCCACATTTTGCCAATACAATACCATGAAAACCTAAATCAATTTTCATGTTTGTAATCTCTATGCTACTGAGGTCCCATACCTGAACATTTTCTAATCAGGAACCATGGGATGCAGGTAACTTCAGCTACCACCTTCTTCAGTCAGTGGCTGAAGCCTCTGCCAGATCAACTGGAAGCAAACACTTACCAATTCTCATTTTAGATGTTTAAACACTGTCATGATTCAATTCCATGAGTCAGTCTAGAGATTTTCCATTCATAAAGARAGAGAAAATGTTTCCAGTCAACAGGAAAGTCAGCAAAGGAGCTTCCTGGATTTTGTCCATTGATTAAGGACTTTATACCTTTTCAGTCCATGCCTGCAGTTGTACAATTTTCAACTCTCTAATGGGAGGTCAATAATATGGTTCAAAGAAGCAAGTGCAGAAGACACAATTTAAAAAACACAGCAGGTAAATTAAGAGAAGGAAATGTGACAAAGTATGAGGGTTAAGTACTTGGGGGGAATGGAGGATTCATACTTTTTGTGGGACAAGATATACACACTCCAGCATGGTACAAAATTACACAAATTGTGTTAAACCAAGATGCAGTCAGGCGTCCAAAATGAAACAGAATCCCATGTAGAGTCTGTCATGTGCATACACACCATCAGTCACAGAATGGCCCACCAATATTTTTACTCAATGGCATTTGGTGGTAAAACAATTCTAGCCAAAATCAAGTGCTGTTCTGGCTGCAGTGATACTGCRTAATTTTAAATGGGAATCAAATTAGCTCATAGGATGACATCTGTCCTAAAGCACATTTACACTATGAAAAACATGACTGCACATATTCACACTGCATTTGTATTAACTGAAGAATGTAACAGACCATGACCATCCTTCATTATGACTACTTTGGCTTGGCCATACTTTCCGAACTCCATGTGAACTGTGAAAACATCAGCAACACATCAGAAAAATTTCAAACTTTTTTGGATAAAATTCATCTCTACGGCTCCCCTTCTGTTACCTTTTTGCAGAAACATTCTCAAACCTCATTAACCACCAAAATCATTAAGGACAAAAAAACTAAACAAACCCTGRTCAACTGATAAAACTGCAAGAGTTAAATCAACAATCATATGACATGTTTCCTCCAGTCCAAACAACTCCTGTAAATTAAACAAGGAATAATTTAGACAAAATACKGAATTGTGGACAAGGAAGTCTCAATGATATTACAGCAATATCATCTACTTCTCATCTGGCAACATTTTTCAAACTGCCACCTTCAAAACTTGCTGTGAAAATTAAGAATCTCAAGAAACACCATACATTGGAAGATCCCCATCCTGACAACATCACTTTGATAGTTTGCATTACTGTGACTTCAGCTAAATGTGTAACACTAAGCAAAGYGGGCTAAAGGAAGGGGCTATTTAAATAAGACACTGCCTACATGGCAAACAGCAACCAAGAGAAAAAAGGCGGAAATGTTAAGCACTGACTGAACACGTGTTAAGCATGTCCTTAACCTGGTTTGGTAAATGGCATYCCTCTACTCAGACTAACTTAGAAGATTTAAGGCACTAYTGCTCAGCACAGAGGASYGGACTATAAGCTGTACTCAGCACCTTGCTGATAGTAGGCAAGGAGACTGAAAATGACTCAACTCTTCCTGATTTCTACCATTTATAAAAAAGAGATTAACAGTCAACATAGCACCAAACTTTCAATGACTTCTCACATGAATGATCAAAYGAGGAACACTTCAAATAAAGCAGGCACATTTTTGTATCAGCAAAGGCTGAGTATACATTCTCATTTACTTAAAATGACATAMAATCTTTGACTTAAAACTACTTCACTGTGAAGTGAAATGTAAGCCTACAAATATTTATGATTTATTTTAAATGAAAACCTGAATGCCAAATTAAAATAATCTAGTACAGTAAGAAAAACTGTTTAAATGCACCAAGTTACTTCTACCATTTAATTTCTGTTTTGTAATTCCATAAAAATACATTAACAGCATTTTTATAGCTTTTCAGCAATTGCAGGAATCCATGAAGTATTAAGGCAGTGCAAACCAGTCTGAACACCTATATGGCAGACATTTAACAGTAAAGACCTTCAAAACTCTAGCCCAGTTAAACTAAGCTTAGAATCAATAGATCCAACCTAGTTTTGCTTCCGGGAAACTTTACTGCTTTTTTAAGTTCAGTTTTTTAACTTCTCTTGCTTCCAATTACTTCTGACTATTCCCTCTGCAGTGCACAACTGAATTAAAATGTGCATTTAACTCATGTCAAACACAGCACAGTTTTTTTATGTGCTCCTCAGCATGGAGGCCCAAATTGTCCTTTACAACAATGATGTGCATTTTAATTAACGGATTATTTTATATAAAAAGCCTAGAATCTAAAAGTACACTCACAAAAGAAAATCTAGTCTAAACGAGCTTCTCTAAGACTATAAAATTTAAGTGAGAACTTGAATCACATATATTACACTGATTAGATATTTTAAATAAAAGCTTCCATCCATCTTGAATATATGCTGAAGCTCAGATATTGTACATCAGATAATGGTTTGATCTGAGATGACAAAAGGAATATATTTAATATGATGAAACACTCATCACTGTGGCCTATCCTCAGTTTCTTTGTCATTTTACTCTACCCCCTGTGCTCAGCATTTCCTACTGGTTAGAGATGCCTCTGAAGGCACAGAGCTATTTAACAAGAAACACCAGGCAGAKGTGCTGAAAATCAGACTTGCTGAATCTGGTGTAACAGCAAGAATAAGACACACTGCCAAAACACCAAAATTAATTAGTACTTCATAAATGGCATTTCAAATCCAACATGACTATGAATCTCTACCAGTTACAYAAGAGTTTGTTTTTTGCCCTCTTCTCCTCAGGTTCAAGGCTAAGATAACGAATGACAAACAAAAACTGCCTTTGTCTCACCATAACCACCGAAGGCAAGAGGCATTCATCAAATATACCTGAATGTAATGAAATGCATGGATACTCTCTTTTATCCAGAGCTGTGTGCATATAGTTGAATACGCAAGTTCATTAAATTTTGCATTAAGGACAGTATTCACACCAACTGTCTTTCAGAACTTGAGATGTGATTTGGAGAATGAATATTTCTGAATGAAGAGAGAACGAAATGTGAAGGGGGCAAATTATAGTTCAAGTTTGACATCTGAAATATGATTGTCACACTAATGCATTACAAAGCCAAATATTCATTTCCAAGGACTGATGTAGTCTTCCTACTTCCTTTAATTCATTATAAAAAGTCAAGTTAATCTTTTTCAGAATTCTGCCATCTAATTACTTCATCCTGACCTRCAATTACCTAGAAATTATGCGCAAAGGAAACAGCAGTTCAACATAAAAAGGTAACAAGGCAAACAACACAATTATCTTCTCCACTTTAATAACTGCTTATCAGCTATGAAGGTGCTGATTGTTTCACCTGAAGAWTTTTTTTTCTTTGAGTTTGATTTTTAAACTATCAATCTCTCATCACAGTTCATGGCTTCTCTCATTTAGCTAAAGGGAAATTCAGTAAACACACAGGAAGGTGACTCAATGCGCCGAAATCACAGTAGCAGTTCTCCTGACCTGAAATGGAACCTTTAGCTCAGGTTTCAGTTTGCATTGTCACCATTCAACATATGCATTCAAACTTGAACCATGCCTGAGATTTCTTCGACGTAGTCAATCAAATGCTGTCCTGATATCAATGGCATGCATCTTCAGGGATTTCAACTTCTGTTAAAGCAATACATGCTCCACTGTCCTAGTTCAAATTAACATGTAACATTTCCATTAGGCCTTCATCCTTATTCAAC